ACTCTATCATCCGCAGTGCCACTGGGGTCGCCCCATATAGCCAGGAATGAGGTCCACATTTGTGCTGTTGACGATTAATGATATGAGCGAACTGTTGGCGCTTTATAAATTCTGTATAATAATCTTAATATGTGTATAGATTAACTCGCACAAAAAAAAGTGAGATGTGGTGGCATAACATCACTTCCCTAACCATTGCAGTGAGAAAACAGGCTGGAGGGTGGTGCGGCTTGCTACAGACTACGGAAGATACAGGCTCGCTGTGATACAAGATGTAAACTGACCATCTTAGCATGGATTGACAGCCATGCTAGCATGCTCCGTTTACTGTTAGGAGGCAGGACAGCAGCAGGTTCAACCAGGCATTATACCACACAGACAGGACTGAAAAAAATCAACATTACATGGCATATCACATTGCTTTTAAGAGGCAGTAGCATTATTTTTTTTAATTTAGGTTAACAAACACTGTGTTTTCCACTGTTACGTTCAACCTAACCTTGACCAATATTTTTCTGCTCCATCCTAAGTCAAACCATAGATGATGCCATGGGTTGCAGGAAAGAAATTCGGCCGGCAGAATACAATGATTATTTGCATGCAAAAATCCCGCATGCTGATTGTACTGCAGTCGATCGATGGATCACCTTCAGTACAATTTGCCTGCCCATAGATGGATTGAATTTTGGCCAGTCCCTTCTGAATCGGCCAAGATTTAATTCTATGGCCAGCTTAGGTTTCCACATGTCTATCACAATCCTAGCTATACTCATATTTTGTCATGCTGCTTTGACTTTTTCATTGTAAAGCCAGCCAGATTACTTGTTATCGGTGTTATTAATGTTTACATGTTTAATCCCATTATGACAGAGGGTAAAACAAATCTGAACACAGTTCTTCAGCTTTGACGTATTCGTAAAACTGTACACATTAATTATAACTACTTAGCTTATCCAGGTGAATTATATTGGGTTGTTCAAGAACAAACAGAACTTTCATTTGTTGCTAAATAATAATGGATATCTCCTGTTTTATATTATCTATTGAAAACTGGCACAAAACATTACAAATATAAATATATTTAAAAACTTTGCTGTTAGATTGCAAGCTCCATGAGAAGGGCCATCCTAATACTTCTGTATTGAACTGTATTTTAACTATATTGGCTCCCTTTATATTGTAAAGCACTGTGCAAACTTTTGGTGCTATATAAATCCTGTATAGTAATTATAATAATATTACTATAACCTGCCACCAAAGAATAACCAAAAACAAATGATCCTACTCCTGACAATTGCAGTTATACCACATATGTGTATGTTATTTGTTTTTTGTTCCCTTATTAGGGCCCAGAAACAATAGTGTACATTTTGCTTTTTTATTCTACCTAAAAAACAATGACACTAACTGACACTGCTACTAAATGAAATCCTTAATCTTAGAATCATATCCTGGAACTTTGAAAGATCGGATGGGCTTTGCTTCACTGGATTCACCTCCTGGAGGGACACCTTGTGTAGGTGCAGCCATACAGTGACACAGTGGTCAAGCATTTAAACCATCAGGGTGCTGCCAAGAGCAAGGCAGCAGTGCTGGAAGTTTTTCATATTCTGAACTTGACAGTCATGTCTCAGCTCTGTCAATAGTTCACATACTCTAGGTAGAAACTGGTAAGAGGACTATCTCAGCCGAAAATGTCTGGATCAGAGAGAGCGGACTCTTCACCAGAAAGTCTTCCAACAAATATTCCAGCGATGGGTAACACCAGATACCAACCTTCTGGCATTGTGCTTCAAGACAGGTTTGTAGCATGTGCAAAGGATTCATGGGCAGATGCAGCAAATATATTCTTGACTCTGTGGGATTGCTACATTGTGATATTTGTTCTCACCAGTAATAATTTTGCTGCAGCTCCAATCCTGGATAGAAGTCAAGCGGATTCTGGTGATCCTAACCCCACACGTACTGGTACTTTATTTTCATCTTGTAGTGGACATTTGGGGGCTTATTTACTAAAGCTGGTTCATTCAGAATCGTGTGCACCTGTGTGTGGTAGTCAATCAGCTTCTAACCTCACCTTGTTCAATTAAGCTTTAGCAAAAAACCTGGAAGCTGATTGGTTTCTATGCAGAAGGGCACAAGATTCTGAGTGAACCAGCGTTAGCAAATAAACTCTGTGGTGTCTATTGTATCAAGAAGACCTTTTGTTTCAAGGGCCCATTTACCACCCTGATGTACAGTCTTTGTCTTTATCAGCTTGGCAGGAAAAGCCAGGCGCTAAGGAAGAAAGAATTATCTGATGCGGTCATCACACACCCAGCTTAAGACTTGCAAGGCCAGGTTTTATAAGGTTAATCATCAAACATGGAAAATGTCATTTGAATGGCATGTTTCCCTAGTGGTACACCCTCATTCTTTTTCCATTGTCTATTGCCTGGCTCTTCTTTAGGGACCGTGGAGTAGCAGCCACTGCATCCCCATAGACATTTAGAAAGTGGCTTTCCTTGTAGCCATTACTTTGGCATGTAAGGTCTCTGAACAGATGGTTTTGTCTTGCAAACATCCATTTGTTGGTCCTTCATGAGGATAAGATTGTCCTTTGTCCAAGATCATCTTTCTTGTGCTGGTGTCAGATTTCCAATTGAATGAAAACTTTGTGGTTTTGTCCCAAGTTGGTTCACCCAAGTAAGGTTGCCTTTGACTCTTTAGATGTAGTACAGTGAGACTGCTTGTTTGTAGTTATAGAGAGTCTACTGAAGGGCCTTCGAACATTAACTGCTTCTATGTCTCGCTGGATCAGGCGAGCCTTTGTCCAAGCATTTACTATCAAGCACTGAGATTAACTGTTTCAAGTTAACGTAGCATGATATGAGGGCTGTAAGTGCATTATGGGCTTTCCTCTATTATACAACCTTTTTTGAGATTTGAAAGGTGGCCACTTGGTCCAGCCAGCTCATACGTTGAGCAGGTTTTGCAAGGTGTATGTAGCAGCATCTACTGATGCCAGTTTTAACCATACAGTTCTGCAGGCAGCAGTTTGATTGACCTGTGTCATTTTAGTTTAGGCACTGAGTCCCATACACCAAGAATGGGATTTTTTGCTAATATTATCATTTTTTTTTCTCTGGGTTCATTAGAGGACACAGTACCTGCCCCTCTGGCTCTGCTGCTGCTGGTATGTGTAAATACTTTGAATTTATGTTTGCACTGCTATGTCATTTAAATGAGTTCCACCGCTGTTTGTCACCACTGATATTCCTGTTTTTACACCACTAGGACAGGTACACGTTATTATCTTTTATAAAGAAGATCTTTCAGTGGTTTGATCTTTTTCTGTTGACTGACAATCTCCTCTAGCTCAAGTCCATCTTTCGCTGAGCTGTAATAGTACCTGGCCTAACTTGCTTGCTAAATGAAATCTTGATCAGGCTATATTTACAGTACATCTATCCTAAGCAATATAACATTCATGTATTCATTTCCAAGAAGAAACTAAATGGCATTCCTGGAAATAATTCACTTTCTAGCTCCGTTTTGATTAATAAAGACTTATAAATGAGTGAATGCTGTAAATGTATGTTTCCCTGATTACATACTTCATCCTGCTTCCGTTGTGTTTTTTTCAGCAGACTTATATTCTGCAATTATACTGTAATTATTATTCATATTCAAAAAGCAACTTCACAGTTCGCAAAATCCCCTGCACCGTGTCTTTCATAATGAAATAGTAAGCATAAATCTGCCTTAACAAATGCAGCTTAAGAATAGGGAATGTAAGTACTGTATGTTAGAAGCACTTTCTACTGTATGTTTAGATTTGTATTTGGTAGTAATACATTTTTAGTATATAAATATTTACATTTCTATATAATTATAGAAATGTAAATAATACTCCCTGATAAATCACATTAAAGTATATCTGCAGAAATTGTGTAAAAATAATCACTACTGTTTGTAGTTTACATTTTTGAAGATTTCTAGAGAGCAGTTTTTATTTATTTAGTTCTGAGCTTTCCTTTATGCAAAGAATAAATGCAGTCTTGTAGTTATATGTCCAATGTGCTCTTAACAGGACAGCATTTTGCTTTTGCAGGCACCCGTGGACCTGTGCAGGCATTGGCCATCGAAAATGCATGGAAGCAGGCAAGGTTTTACATTATATAGCAGGGTTCTGGTGCATGTAGTGTTAATTTCGTTGACTAAAATATTTTCTTCAATGAAATTAACACGATTTTAGTCTACTAAAAGATGACTAAAACTAAAACAATTCAGATTACTAAAATATGACTAAAATGGTATTTTAGTCAAAGGACTATGACTAAAATGAAATTGAAATTTGACATCAAAATTAACATTGATTATATATCACAACGGCTAAATCTGTGTCTGTAGTGCATGTTCAGATCTTAACACTATAAAGAATTACATGCTATTAGATTTTTACTCTAGGAGTATATATTGAGTTTGGAAATTCTAGAGAAATACTTAAAGGATAAGTTCACCTTTTGGACAAAAATAATAAATGCACATTTTTTGCAGATAAAAAAATGTGCATTTATTATTTGTGTCCAAAGGAGCCTGGAAAGCATTGCACCAGCGATCAGTAGATTACTGATGCCATGCAGGTCTCCTGCAGACCTGTCAGAATATCTGCTAGCCGTATGGGATGTAAGGCCAATTAGATATTCTGTCAGGAAGCTTGAATGAACTACCATGGTGCTCCACAGAACCATAGTAGTTCACTAAAAACTACAAGCCCACAGCCACTAAGGCATTTGGGACTTGCAATTCATTCATTCACAGAAGTCCATGAATGAATGACGTGGCAGTGTAAAAAATAGCATTTTCACCGAAAGACTATGACTTAACTAAATCGAAATTTGACGTCAAAATTAACACTGGGTGCATGGAATCTACTCTAACTAGACTGAAAATATTGGCAGGCAATCTCAAGGTTGCAGCAGTGTAATCCTGCTAGACTCTGCATCTAAGGTATATTTCATATATGCTATATTGCCAAAAGTATTGGGACACCCCTCCAAATCATTGGGACACCCCTCCAAATTCAGGTGTTCCAAACTCCTCCATGGCCACAGGTGTATAAAATCAAGCATGCAGACTGCTTCTACAAACATTTGTGAAACAATGAGTTGCTCTCAAGAGCTCAGTGAATTCAAGCATGGTACCGTAATATGTTGCCACCTGTGCAATAAGTCTATCCGTGAAATTTCCTTGCTACTAAATATTCCACGGTCATTTGTTAGTGGTACTCTAACAAGGTGGATGCAACTGGGAACAACAGCAACTCAGCCACAAAGTGCTAGGCCACGTAAAATGACAGAGAGGCGGTCAGTGCATGCTGAAGCGCACAGTGCACAGAAGACACCAAGGGGTTTATTTACTAAAGCTGGAGAGTCCAAAATCAGACTCCCTTCTTCATAGAAACCAATCAGCTTCCAGGTTTCATTGCCAAAGCTTCATTGAACAAGCTGAGGTTAGAAGCTGATTGGTTTCTATGCAGAAGGGAGTCTGATTTTGGACTCTCCAGCTTTAGTAAATAAACCCCCAACTGTCTGCAGAGTCAATAGCTGAAGACCTCCAATCTTCATGTGGCCTTCAGATTAGCACAACAGTGCATAGAGAGCTTCATGGAATGAGTTTCCATGGCCGAACAGCTGCATCCAATACTTACATCACCAAGTGCAATGCAAAGCGTTGAATGCAGTGGTGTAAAGCACACCACCACTGGACTCTAGAGCAGTGGAGACATGTTCTCTGGAGTGACGAATCATGCTTCTCTGGCAATCCAATGGATGTATCTGGCTTTGGCGGTTGCCAGGAGAACAGTTCTTGCCTGACTGCATTGTTCCAAGTGTAATGTTTGGTGGAGGGAGATTATGGTGTGGGGTTGTTTTTTCAGGGGTTGGGCTTCCAGTGAAGGGAACTTTTAAGGCATCTTAAGGCATCAACATACCAAGACATTTTGGACAATTTCATGCTCCCAACTTTGTGGGAATAGTTTGGGGATGGCCCCTTTCTGTTCCAACATGATTGTGCACAAAGGAAAGTCCATAAAGACATGGATGAGCAAGTTTCGGTTGTTAGAACTTGACTGACCTGCACAGAGTCCTGACCTCAGAACACCTTTGGAATGAATTAGAGCAGAGACTGCGAGCAAGGTCTTCTCGTCCGATATCAGTGCCTGACCTCACAAATGCGCTTCTGGAAGAATGGTCAAACATTCCCATAGACACACTCCTAAACCTTGTGGACAGCCTTCCCAGAAGAGTTGACGCTGTTATAGCTGCAAAGGGTGGGTCAGCTCAATAGTGAACTCTACGGACTAAGACTGGGATGCCACTAAATTTCATGTGCATGTAAATGCTTCCCTGCGTGGTTTCTTGGGGATTTATGAAACCACTGTGGGTATAAACCATAAAAATCAATGGACACTTGTATGTGATTTACCTAATACCAAACATACAGTTAAAAGAATGCCCATTGTCCATGGCTTGCAAGAGCTATTGGCCTTTTCTTTGTTGCCCATTATCACTTACCTATTTATTTGTGTTCATGCAAAATTGTGTAGCACACTACTTAGTGGAAACTGGTAGTGTGGATGTTATTGGTTCTTCTGCACTATATGCTTTACCTGTTTTTATTTTTGCCATCTTTTAAGTCTTAAGATGCATTTTGCAAAGCCTGTAGACAGACACAAATCATCAGATGAAACTAAAAGATATTGTAATTGAGCTACATTCAGTATAGATCTGCAATATAAAAATCTTGTCCAAGGTGCCTTCCTCCCCTTTTAGTTTGGCCTTTTTGTAGCACAGCTTGCTCATGTAATTTGATTTTTCTAAGTCTTTATGATGCTGTTACCAGTAGTAGCAATATTGCTGTATGCATTCACTAAACAAACAAGGTATATGACTTCCTTGCACATATAGCTGTGTGATATAATGGATATTTAATTTGTAACAGCTTATAAAAATCCCTTCGAATATTTGTATTTTTGGTACAGTAATATACAATAATGTAGTTGCACAGTACCATTCCCTTTACTTTATCTTGGCTACAGTGTCAGAAGGATTGATGATATTTGTTTAATGGAATTTCTGGTTGCAGTAGATAACAATACACATTCTAAACATGTAAATGCTTGGAGCATACATATCTTGACAGTGCATGTGCATTTTATTACTGTATTCCTAAGTGTATTAGGACACATTTGAATTACAGCTGTTATTTAATTGTTCTACCTTGTGCTTTTGCAAAAATCTCTGAATACAGTTTTCATACAATGAGCTCCTAGAAGTGCAATGTCCGAATGTATTTGTCTTCATTTTAATATCTGTCTGTACAAGACCTATTGATGTTTTGCTGTTGCGTTACCATACTTCCCAGGAAAAAAGAGTTCTTTATGTCCATGACACACTACCTATGATGGTTTTTTGTTATTAAATAATAACCACCATTTTTTGTGTGTTTCCTTGTGTTGCCCTGCATATTACTTTGAAAAATCCCCAACTTGTCTATTATATACTATACTTCTCTGATTGAAAAATGTATTTCTTCAATGAAACCCTGCCTATAAATATTATTTGTTGATGTGCTGTTCTAATTTAAAAAAAAAATCTATTTCTTAAGACACCCTGCTTGCCCTTGTTGATGATTTATTGTTGAGTTAAAAAAAGAAACTCTTCTTCACTGATAAAAAATTTCCCTGATACTCTGCTTTAGATTATGCCTTGTTTTTTTTTATAATTTGAACCCTGGAGTTTTTTCTCCCTAAACCCCTTAAAATGGTTGTAAAGGCGCCAGGTTTTTTAGCTTCATGAATTCTATGTGTGCAGCAGCCCTCCTAATATTTACCTGAGCCCCATCATGATCCAGTGATGTGTATGAGAGCCTCTGCTCTTCGAGAACTCTCCCTCCTTATTATCTGAGACAGCAGTGGGGGCCATTGTCTTCTGCTGCTGTCAATCACAGCCAGTGAGCAATCAAGGAGAGAAAGGGGGTAAAGCCGAGACACAGCTCTTTGAATGGACACGCGGAGCAGCGACTCAGAAGCAAAACTACTTGGGTGCCCCCATAGCAATCTACCTGCTCTTGGGGCACTCAGGTGGAGGGAGGGGCCAAGAGTGCCAGTGGGGAAACCTGAGAAAAGGAGGATCAGGACTGCTCTGGGCAAAACCACTGCACAGAGCAGGTATGACATGTTTTTTTTTTAATTACGTTTAATATAACTTTAAATCCCAGAGCATTTTGTTATTCATTTTGAAAATGTATTGGTCCCAAACCTTATACCTTTGGGCTTTTGTAGTATACCCTTACATATTTGGGCTTTAATTTGGTAGCAAGTGTGATTTTCAGAATGTTAAGCTGAAAATGAGCATTTGTAGTTTACTCTTTGCTAGTATACACACACATAAATTCCTTTCCCAGGCCCACTTTTGTAGGTGTGCAGTGCAGTCAATATCATGGAAAGGCTGTTGTCAATTATAACTAAGCATATTGACTAAGTCAGAGAATTCTGATCTTGCTGTTTAATCTCTCCTTAGGAAATAATGTTTGAGACGTGGAAAATGCTTGAGCTTAGCTGACTATATTTAGCAGAGGTTTATTCAGTTTTAAGCTTACAGCTAACCTTTTCTTCAATATGTACCCTAAAGCCCCTTGATCTTATGAGTTTATTGATATTTACTAGATAAAGGAAGGTTTTCAATTACATTTAAATATATTAATTATGTGAACTTTATGTATGTTTGACTGTCAATTAGTTACAACTGGAAAAAAAATGGTAATATCTTGATGGGCTTCAATCTAAAACACAAATAATATTGCAGTCTGTGAAATCCAAACATTTGGGCTAGCTAGGTGTACATAATTATGTACATAATTTGCTGCACTGTATTCCACACCTTATGTATAAAGAAAATATTTGTACTGATTTTCTATTCCATATAATGGGATTGATTTTATAAAATATTTGTGACACTTTTCTGGTGTTATGACCAGACTTGAAAGTCACAAAGCAAATTCATGGAATCATATAATATATATGATATTATACTGTTCATATAACATATAACAATACATATGACAAATGTAGGTGATTCTTATGTGACACTTCTTTATTTTGATGCTATGGCTTTGGTAAATTAATGAAGAAAAAACACCATATTGGTGATAATAAAAGTGGAGGTAAAGAAGACTTGTGCCATGTGGAAATAAATTGAGTTGCATGCGTATTTTGCCACAGACAAAATTATGTTTGTGGCAATTCTGCAACAGATTCATATACATCTTTTGACAGTTACACGATTCTCAATTTGTGAAATCATACCACATTTACAGGTAACCCTTGTGGAGGCTGGATGCATGGCTTTACAGTGGTACCATACAAAATCCAACAATGAAGAGGAAAAACCAGCACACTGAGAAGTAGAATCTAAAGCAGGATTCCCTGAAGTACCTTCTCAGTAAAAAATAAGGCACCTCAATGTTTTGAGAGCACAGTGACAGACTGTCACCGTGAAAAAAGAGGGCGACCATGCTCTCGAAACACTGGGTTAACTTTTTTGCTGATATGGGACTTCAGTAAATCTTACTCTCACTTATCGGTGTGCTCATTTTCTGTTCATCGCTAACTACAGTACATGCATATGTTACAAGTTGAATGCAATTCTAGATTACTTTATTTGAATTATTGAGTTAATTTTAATAAACCAAATAATTTCCTTGCTGTAGCAAAAACAGAAAATAAATAAAGACTGCTGCATCCACTAAACGGTCTAGATACTAGATATCAAACAACTCCTTGAAAAAAAGGGGGTGTACTGTCACTTAAAAATTTCAAAGTGCAATCGTGCGTACAATATAAAACTATATTATCATAGAGAAAATCGATAATGTGCGCTCAATATATGCAATAATCTTAATAAATATAAAAATGACATCACAAATAAGGTTGTGTCAAAACACCATAATCAACTTTCAAATAAATAAATACATAAATAATAAACCTAAAAAAGTATCCATCCGTACAGATGGCAAATGTGTATGGACAATAAGCTAGATGCCTAAATATGTAAAAAAACGTGGAAACTTAAAAGGTGTATGTGATATAACCCAGTATGCCACTCTCAAAATAGAAAAAATATTATAAAAGTGTAAATGCATACAGATGTACAAATGTACATATGGAAAAAAGGTAAATGAACAAACATAAATATTGCCAACAAAGTTGAAGATGAATAAAGCAATCAAATGTGCAAAATGTCCGTACAGATGAATTAGTATCCTGGTGAACAGTCCAAAATCAGGATGGAAAATCCCAAAGGAAAAGAAGACACTTCAAAGTGTAAGATGGAGAGCATTCAGTGCTGCAGGATAAGGACACCATAATCAGCTTTCAAATAAATAAATGATTGAATGAATACATACATACATAATAAACCTAAAAAAGTATATATCCATACAGATGGACAAATGTGTATATGGGCAATAATAAGCTAGATGCCTAAATATGTCAAAAACACGCAAACTTAAAAGTTCTATTCCTGGAGCACTGAATGCTCTCC